GGGCATGATGATATAGGTTAGAAAAATAGAAAGATGAGGGCTAGATAGTAGAGTATAGCAAAATGCCAGGCTTATGCTGAGGTTAAAGTATTTAAAAACAGGTTAATAGCCAGGGCTTTGGCTCCTGATCTAGTTGGCGTTAATGAACGGAGGTAGAGGGCAAGCTGTTAGGCCAATGATGAAGTTCTGATGTGAAAATAAAAGAAGGTTCAGGGCAAGGCCGTATGCTCATGATAACATTAGAAAAAGCTAAGGGTGGTTTACAGCTAAGCTTCAGGCCTTTATCGTAGTGAAATGAGGAAGCCTGAGGCCTAGCTGTGAGGTTATTTTTTCCTACTCGAGCTTCATCGTAAGCCTTATGTCTTGCTATGTACCTCCTTCCATTCAGTCTAACTGCATCATGAGACTGTGGACTAACTCTAAATCTGTTTGTATTTACTATAAGTCTACAGTGGAAGTGCTAAAGTCAAAGTTAGTGATCAACAGGTTATTAGCTAGGCCTTGGGGTTTTATGGTAGCTAAAGTGAATGAAAAGAGGAACCTTACAAGACATCATGCTTATGATGAAGCTATGAGGAGATACTACAAGTAGCTGTAGAGTGATGCCCTAAGCTTATGATGAAGTCAGAGTGAGCAAAACTATGTTTAGAGACGTGTTTTGAAGTTAGAGAAAGTAAAGGTGAGTTTACAGCGAGGCCTCTGGCATGTGAAGGTAGAGTTCACGTGTGTGTGTGTGTGTGTGTGTACAGAGCAAGGCTTTAAGCTTATGATGTAGTTATAGCAAGCAAAAGTAGTTTTAGAGGACTGCCATAGCCATATGATGAAACAAAGACAAGTAAAAGGAGGTACATGAGGTTAGATAAATAAAAGTAGGTATAGAGTGAGACTAGAGCTACGCATCAGGCTTGTAATGCAGACAGATTATGCAATAGTGGGTTAAGAGCTAAGCATGTAAAATTAGGTACAGAAAAAGCCATTAAGCTGAGGATAAAGTTACAGTAAGCGAAAGCAGGCTGACTGCCATGCCTCAGGCTTATAATATGGTCAAATAAACAACGGTAGTGTTAGAGTAAGGCCTTTGGCTCTTGCTGATGTTAGAGTGAGTAAAAGCAGGTTACTTGCTAGGCCATGGGCTTATAGCATGGTGGATGTTAGTAGTTAGGCCTTAGGCCCATGATGTAGTTAACATGAATGAAAGGAGCTGTGATTAAAGTAAAAGCAGGTACAGAGCAAGCAATTAGACTAAGCAAAAGGAGGCTTACAGCTATGCCTCAGGTTTATAGTGATGGAGTAAGTAGCAGTAGATGTAGAGTTTGGCCTTAGGTTTCTGAAGAATTTTGAGGAAGCAAAATAAGCTTTCCAGCTAGGCCTCAGACTTGTATTGTAGTCAGAGTAAGTGATGATAGGTTTAGAGCTAGGCCCTTGGCTTATGGTGAAGTTAGACTGAATAATAGTGGGTACAGGGCTGGGCTTTGGGCTTAAGCTGGATTTAGATAAGCATCAAGAGCCTCACAGCTAGGCGTCTGGTGTAGTCAAAAACGTAATTGATTTAGAGCAAAGCCTTATGCTTATGAAAAAAGTTAGATTGAACGGTAATCCTCTAAGGCCTAGCTGTTTCTTACTCTAGCTGTAAGATAGGGTATAGAGCTAGGCCTTTGGTTTATGTTTGAGTTAGTGAGTGAAAGGACATCTACAGCATGCAATTAGACATACAATGAAGTTGGAGAAATGAAAGTAATTGCACCATCAGCTGAAAGCCTAGCTCTGTAGTCTGAGTAAGCCAAAATTTAGCTTTTCAGCTGGGCCTCTGGCTCATAAGGTACATAGAGTAAGAGATGTTAGGTTTAGAGCTCGGCCTTAAGTTGTATGGGGAAATTAGAGAATCTTAAGGTAGGTTTAGGACAAGGTCTTAGGCTAATGATGAAATCAGAGGAAGCAAAAGGACGCTTCCAGCCAGGCCACAGGCTTATATCGTAGTTGGAGTGTATGTAAGAGTAGATTTAGAGTTAGTGAAAGCAAGTTAGTCAGCTGGAATAAAGGGATTTTGGCTTATGATGAAGTTGGAGTAAGTGAAAGGAGGCTTATAGCTAGGCCTTGTGCCTTTATTGTAGTAAAATAAATAAAAATGGTTTCAGTGCAAGGCCTTCATGAGGAAGTTAGAAAAAAGCACAAACCTAAGATCCAGCTGTATAGGTCCTGTTACTTACTCTATGTATATTTTAAGCTAGGCCTTAGGTTTATGATTGTAAAAGTTGGTGTAGAGCAAGGCCTTTAGCTTCTGTGCTTAAGTATTGCTTCTTATATAATTATTGATTATTTCTCACTAGTCAAGTCAAAGTTTATTCATATAACAGCACATCAGCAGAGATCAGGCTCTGGCCCCAGCGGCCGCCAGCTTACGCGTGTGCTTTACTCGCTCCAAGGAAGCTCGTTTAACCCCTAATCAACGGGGCGCTCGGCCAGTCGGAGTTCGCTCACGCCCTCGCCGAGGCTCTCCCCGAACGCGGCGTTGAGCTCTTCGAAGGCTCACGCCGCCGTTTGCCACCGTTTATCACAGATTATTGCGCTAAATACCCCGCATCTTGTTCGGAGCGGGTGGCGCGCGGCGCCCTTTTGAGAGCGCCCTGCGAAACGAGGCATCGCTGCGCGCTCAATCCCGGACTTAGAAAACACAGCAGAGTCTCTTCTATAGGATCGAGCCGTTGGACGCTCTCCAGGTACCGCTTTCGCTCTTATTTTGGCTGCTAAATGCCACAAGAAAACACAGGTACGAGCGCGACACTGAGGCACGGCTGCATAGCGCCCGCCGGGTTGAGTCTACACCGTTCTCATGTGGCTTTTAAGGGGCCGGCCCGTCGCCGGAGAGGGAGGTTCCTCTGAACAGTGCAGCTCGCGCTCATTCTCGCTCCGCTCGCAGCAAAGGCAGAACGATGGCAGAAGGCGCTCCCGCTCCAGCCGCCGCCGCGCCGGCCAAAGCTCCCAAGAAGAAAAGCGCTGCCCGGCCTAAGAAAGCCGGTCCCAGCGTCGGCGAGCTCATCGTCAAGGCTGTTTCTCAGTCTAAGGAGAGGAGCGGCGTGTCTCTCGCCGCCCTCAAGAAGGCTCTGGCTGCCGGCGGCTACGACGTGGACAAGAACAACTCCCGCGTCAAGATCGCCGTCAAGACTCTCGTGACGAAGGGCACTCTGGTGCAGACCAAAGGCACCGGCGCCTCCGGCTCCTTCAAACTCAACAAGAAACAAGCCGAGCCCAAGAAGAAGCCGGCAAAGAAAGCGGCGCCCAAAGCCAAGAAGGCGGCCGCCAAAAAGCCCGCCGCTGCTAAGAAGCCCAAGAAGGTAGCGGCGAAGAAGCCCGCAGCCGCCAAGAAATCGCCGAAGAAAGCCAAGAAGCCGGCGGCGGCCAAGAAAGTCGCCAAGTCTCCTAAGAAAGCCAAGAAGCCGGCAGCCCCGAAGAAGGCGGCCAAGAGCCCGAAGAAAGCGAAGGCGGTCAAACCCAAAGCAGCCAAGCCCAAGGCGGCGAAAAAGGCCGCCCCCAAAAAGAAGTAAACGCGCCGTTTTACCTTCGTGTCCTGTTTTCCCCACTCAAAAACGGCTCTTTTAAGAGCCAAACCCACATTTTCCTCTCAAAGAGCTCAGTTTTCATTCTTCCTGCACAAAGTCTTAATTACTAAGTAATTATATGACCAGAAAGCACAAAACTAAACATTATAGTTGAGCTGCCATTTGAGGTTACATGGATGAGAATGGGAGGGGGAATTGGGATAAGAATTTAGTGGGAAAACAAGGACGCGTATACGTTTCTTTGTCTCGCTCACTCACACACACACATGCGGCAGCACGGGGGGGGCGGGGTACGTGGACAAGAACGGTGGGCGGGACCTAGAGTTTGACGGCGCTAATACGATTGGTTGTTGCATTTCAGCCAATAGAAACGCAGCCGCTTTAGCTATAAGAAGGGCGTTCGGCGACCGGTACTCATTATTTCAGTTTAGTTCGGCAAAGTTGATAGAAGTGCAAAATGAGCGGAAGAGGCAAAACTGGTGGTAAAGCTAGGGCCAAAGCCAAGACTCGCTCCTCCCGCGCTGGGCTGCAGTTCCCTGTGGGCCGTGTTCACAGACTTCTGCGCAAAGGTAATTATGCCGAGCGTGTTGGCGCTGGCGCTCCCGTCTACTTGGCCGCTGTGCTGGAGTATCTGACTGCTGAGATCCTCGAGTTGGCCGGTAACGCCGCTCGTGACAACAAGAAGACCCGTATCATTCCTCGTCATCTGCAGCTGGCCGTTCGTAACGACGAGGAGCTCAACAAACTGCTCGGAGGAGTCACCATCGCTCAGGGTGGCGTACTGCCCAACATTCAGGCGGTACTGTTGCCTAAAAAGACTGAGAAGGCAGTCAAGACAAAGTAAACTGACTTTGTCTGATTTTCTTGAGGTAACCAAAGGTTCTTTTAAGAGCCACCCACTTCTGCGATAAAAGTGTAGTTATTTCCTTGTCAACCACCCGCCCATCCCTCCTAAACGAAGAGAAACTGTCCATCAGTCTAGGATTACTTACGTGAGCGTGAAATGAGACACAGCAATCCCACATTCCCCGACTGCATACTGAATATTGTTTAGAAGCTTTCTTTCTACTCGCACTTAACGCAAACTAAAACAAAAACGTTCATATAATGACGCCAGTTATGACGCAATAACGCGTTTCACGCATAAGATGTAGAAAAATTTAGAATTTCAAATTAATCTTGAAAAGATCTACATATTAACAAACACAGGATGATGATACAGGAGCCAGGCGTTGGGAAAAGTATCGTTTTTTTTTTCTTTCCAAAAATGGCGCGAAAGAAGACGCCCAATAACGCTTAGGCTGTGTGTGGGCGACTGTGCAATGGGAGGCAAGCACATCGGTCTTGCCCAATGAGAGGCGAACAGCTCCAGCGTTTAAAAGAGCCGTGATGTGCGCATGAGCTTATTCTCTCTCTCTTTTCTCGAGAACAGTTGATTTCGAAGCCATGGCAAGAACAAAGCAGACCGCCCGTAAGTCCACCGGTGGCAAAGCCCCGAGGAAGCAGTTGGCTACCAAGGCTGCTCGTAAGAGCGCCCCGGCCACTGGCGGCGTCAAGAAGCCTCACCGTTACAGGCCCGGTACCGTGGCTCTCAGGGAGATCCGCCGTTACCAGAAATCCACAGAGCTGCTCATCCGCAAGCTGCCCTTCCAGCGCCTGGTGCGGGAGATCGCTCAGGACTTCAAGACCGATCTCCGCTTCCAGAGCTCTGCCGTCATGGCTCTGCAGGAGGCTAGCGAGGCGTACTTGGTGGGTCTGTTCGAGGACACTAATCTGTGCGCCATCCACGCCAAGAGAGTCACCATCATGCCTAAGGATATCCAGCTGGCCCGCCGGATCCGCGGAGAGCGCGCTTAGATTAAACGGAGCGACCACAAGTTACTCAAACACCCCAAAGGCTCTTTTAAGAGCCGCCGAACTGTTTCAGTCCAAAAGAGCGAGTTTTCTAGCGAACTCAGTTCTTTTGTGTTGTGATGTAGTAACAGATCTCGAAGAGGAGCCCGCGAGCTTCTCTCTGCGGAGTCGTGAGGAGCTGCTTAGTTCCAGCTCAGACGTTCATCCCGTGTTTGATCAGAGTCCGTAATGCAGTGAGGAGTTTCGAGTCTTACAGAAAGAGATGAGAATGAACTCGTTAGTACTTCATCACGGAAATGAGCGGCTGGAGAATCAGAAGTGCAGCACAGTCGAGTATTGTGAGCGCGTGACTAGCGCTACGAACATCACGTACATAGTGAATATGTAGGGCTGCGTTATTGGAGTAAGAGTTTAGCGAGAAAATCACCCCGTGTGTGTGTGTGTGTACGCGCGCGCATCTAAACGAAGGCGGCCGTTCAGAGGAGCTTTCTGCTCAGTATTTACCCAGCACTACAAACACCACCACACACTAAACACAAACACAGCTCTTAATGATGATATGAGTGACTGAAGAAAAGCAGCACCGAATATGGAGTTTCATTATTAATGTGCTGATCAGAGAAAACAGAGCAGAAAGACCAGCTCTGGGTTTTTGGCTGAGGCGGGTTTGTCATCGATGGAGCTTGGTCGCCACCGTGTGGTCAAAATGTGAACCTGCAAGTGGCAGAATTAGAGATACTTTGGTAAAATGTGGAAATGTTGAGTTACTGAGTGACTTCCTGAATTACTGTGTTTGTGAGGCTCCGTAAATAAAATGGGAATAAAATGACAATAATTTTATAGTAATTATTACAACTAAACCAAATCATTTCATACAGTAGGTCAACATTTACAATAAGGATTTTGATGAGGTTTTTTTCTTTTTTTTGTGTGTTAATTGAGTTTTATACCTATCATGGATTTGTGTATTTATTTATTTGTTTGTTTCTGTTCCCTGTTCTTTCTTTCTCTTGTTGTACTTTGAACCATTTTGTCTTAAAATGTCATGTGATTTGAAAGGCTGTGAAACGCTGTTACTATTATTGACAGTAATAGTAATAGTTATAATGATGAGTGTTATTTATTTACTTTGTGTTTAAGGAATAAACTCCCAAAAAGGCTTTAGTTTCTGAGATTCCCCCACAGAGGTAGAACAAAGCACAATCATGTCTTTATGTAACTTTAATATCTCAGGTTCATGAAATGGACAGTTTAATAAAATACTGTACTGTAGATTTTGTGTAATTCATTTAAAGTACATTACAATAAAAGATTTTGTCCAACACAGTAAAATAATAGTTCTTGATCATTGAATACATATTTAATATATTCTGTGATAATAATAATAAATAAATAACAATGAAGTACACAAATTCAGTATGACATGCCAACAATAAAATCATTTCTCATTCAGCATCAAACATCAGTATAAAGTTTCTTTTTGTTTGTTTGTTTTTTTTTCTTCTTATATTTCTCTTATTAAATGTATAAATGTGTTCAGCTCTTTTTTAGATGATTCCGTCTCACCGAACAGGAAAGCCGAGATATTAAACCTTATTTCCGAGATTAAGGCTGTACAGTGAGTCACAGCAGCAGGTCTACATGTCCAAAATGTTCCGAGTCTCAGTTCACCGAGGTAAAGAACCCAAACTGGCATCTTGGTGAAGCATCTGCACTGTCAGAGCGACTGGACTTCACTCTCATTTAAAGCCAAGATGGAGGTCCAGGAACTCACCACAGTGACCGCAGTATCAAGTCTTTACTGAACACCTTTCCAGAGACCACCAGACAACAAGCACCAGGGTGGGCAGTGAGTCTGTTCAAACACAGTGAGTATGTATGAGATCTACAGACACATCAGAGGCAGAAACACCAGCTAATGAGGAAACAGCAGCCAGGCCTTCTGTGGCTTTAACACCACGTCTGCAGGTGGCAGTGCCGCCTCATTTGGAGCAGAACACAGTTCTGGATCAAATGAAACACTTACGGTTGTGAGAGGAAGTGTGAGCTGCGTTAAAGAGGAGCTGAAAGAACTGTAGACATTATGTGAAGTTCAGTGAGCTCAGTGCTGAGTAATATAGGGGTACCATGTGACGGTGAACCTGTTCAGTCATTAATGAGGGAGTCTGAAAGAGTCGAGCTCGGATTTGATCAAACTGACTCTCCCTTTAAAATGAATCAGCTCTTCTCAGAGAAATTTCACCTCGTCAAGCCTAAAGAAATATTTCTTGTCCACAGGACGGACACTTCACTGAAACAGGGGCAGCCGAAGTTTAGACACCGACTCGTCAATATATTCCAATTATTGACACAATCAAGTTTTTAACTCAGCTGTGACGAAATAGTCCACTGTAGTCGTGGGTCATTCTGTAGTCGCGTTATATCAGGATCTCCGGGTCTGAGCTCGATTTTTCTACGGTCAGAATGAACGGGGGCTATGAAAAATCGCCTCTGTCGCCTCCTGTGTTAAATAAAAATGACCAGAACCCGATACGGTTTGTCCTGAACATTTCCCCCCAAACATCACTGGATCCTCAGAATTACGAGGTCGTTAAAGAGCCTTAACACTAATATTGCTACAGTAAAGCTAAAACTACCGCGCATCATTTTGACGGCACTAAGCTACAGGACACTGTGGCGGACTGAGCCGGTGCTCTAACGAGCTGTGCTACCTTGTCAAAATGATCTACCGTAGCGCATGTTTACACTTATACCCGTAAACAGAACCTCTAGGTGGGACATTTTGACAGTGCAAAACTCCTTATCAAAAAATACTGCCACTGTTAAAACTACGAGGCTGAATTTAGCTTCTTCGCAGCTTCTTCTTTGAATCCTCCCGTTCCACCTTAAATGGTGCTGCAGTTGTGATTAGCGATCACAAACACTGGCAAACAAGACAAGACAATGCTGACCTGTTGGTTCTGTGAAAAAGAGAAACCTGCTCATATCAGACCTTTCAACTCTCCATGAAGCTGAATTTAGCTTCTCTTCACCAGCTGCTTGTTCGAATTTTCCCGTTCCACCTTAGGTGGCGCAGTTCAGAATGTAACTGCTGTACCATTTAAGCTACAATGAAGCTCTACAAACTCAGTTACATTATGATGGAGAGACGACCAACCCTTTAATCTCCAAAACACAAATTCATAAATGAGTTCTGTTTATTTTATAATATTTTTTCCACCAGGAAAGTCAGATCCTTGATCCGCTGCTTGAGGACTTCAGAGTTCCTGTTCAAAGGCTGTTAAGCAGACGCTTCACAAATGCGGGGCCTTTTGCAGCTCTTGGCCTTTTTAGTGGGAGAGTGAACCCCCTCCACTCAGCTGCACCTGCTGATTTGATTTTAGTTCACTTATAGTATGAGTCTGGTTTGTTTTAACTGTTATTATTCTTTTTGTTTATTTTAATATTGCCAAGTTATTGATTTACATCTTATTTCCCTTCATATCCCTATTTTATTAATTGTTTTATTTTAATTATTTTCTCCTTATTTTCTTTCTTCTTTCTTTCTTTCTTTCTTTCTTTATTTATATTACGTTATGGTTTCAATTTTAATGGCTTATTCATTGTTGTTTTTTGTACTATTACATTTACATTGCTATATTTTTACAATATATTTTTTCAATGCTCGTTTTCTGTATTGGCTCGGCTACATTGTAAATGAGGCTCTCTCTCAAAGTAGTCGATTGAGTGATTGATCTGCAGCACTGTTGCTGCCCCTGTTGTATTATTTGTTCGTGCTGTGTTTCTGAAGCAGCTCATTTTAGATCATCACACACTTTTCAACAAACTGTATGATCAAAGTCGCATTTCTAAGCACCCTTTTATGATCCCTTATCCGAGAATGCTCTGTGTTTGGACCCCTCTCTCAGTAAAGCGTATGAGATTTGAAGCAAAGCTCCACCCACTGAAGAGTCGAGCACATGTGATGAGCAGGATCAGGAATATTGCTGAAATTCTGGCCTGGTCAGTAAATGTATGATGCAGTTATGTTAATGTAGGATTTCAAACTTGGAGACTCTTTCTGTAAAATGGATGTTGGTGCTGTAAATGCTGTGAGCACTGGGTCTGTGATTGTTCTGGAAGGACTGAAGTCGGTCTTTAACAGTGACTTTAAATAGCTCTGTTTGGTGACTGTACTTGGCCAAACATAAAGAACTGGATCAGTGTCGCCTCTTAAACCCAATATTATGGAGAGAGTTTATCGGGTGAGATCATTCATATCAGACCTCAGGCTGACCTTCTTCATGTTTTTAGGATTCTCTCAGGTCCCAGCATCCATTTCTACCGAAAAGCTCATAACTGAGAGGCCAAACAGTGTGTTGAACAATGTGGGCTGATCATTAAATGTATTAATTTACCTCAATAAATGCATTAAATTACCCCAATAAATGCATTAATTAAATCATCAGTCAATGTATTTATTTACCCTATTAAATGCATTAATTTAACTTAATGATTCCATTAATTTACACAAATAAATGTAATAATTTATCTCAATAAATTTATTAATTTACCTTGATAAACATATTAAAATACCCCAATAAATGCATTAATTTACCTGAATAAATTTATTAATTTACCTCAATAAATGTATTAATTTACTTCAATAAATGTATTAATTCACCCCAATAATTGCTTTAATTTACCTTAATAATTGCATTAATTTACCCCAATAAATGCATTAATTTACGTCAATAAATGTATTAATTTACTCCAATAAAAACATTAATTTACCTCAATAAATGTATTAATTTACCTCAATAAATTTATTAATTTACCTCAGTAAATGTGTTAATTTACCTAATTAAAAGTATTAAATTAATCCAATAAAGATATTAATTAACCCAAATAAATGCATCAATTTACGTAAAACTATCTATATTAATTTGGTCTTATTTACTCATCTCACTTTGTTCCTGCTTCTCATCTGAAGTGAATTCTGTAATTCAAATGCATGAATTACGTAGAAATGAAGAAGAACGTTTCAGACAGGTGTTCCGATGTGTGTGTGTGTGTGTG